TAAGTGGACAATACATATTGGAGAGGGAGCCGTGCCCACGGAAGTCATTGTGCTCTGTGCCTGTCTGAGGAGAGGTAGGGTGGGGTAATAACTCAAGTGGATCTCTGATGCAGGGAGAAAGGAGCCATTGTCTGGTGAATAGAAGATGGGCAGGGCACATCAAATGGGTTGATTAAGAAGATAAGACTGTGGAAGCACAACATGACCTGGAAGTTGAAGAAAGTTTCAAAATAGAGAAGAGGGCAGCAGATGGATAAAGAAACTGAGTGTGGGGGACCTGAGAGATGTGGGAGATGGACTGCAGGAGGTGACAGCTCACATGCTACCTAACTGATTAGGAGGTCCAGTTGGCAGAGAACTGAACAGGGCAGTTAGGAGAAAAGGAAGAGGGTGGTTTACAGAGAATTTTCTGGAGCTTAAAAGTTGCAGAGTTTTGGCTTGGGTTAGACAACAGAATTGAAGGGACTGGGGGAAGAAAGGAAAGAAATGGAGACGAAGCAAGGAAAGATATAAACGTCCATGAGACTGAGAGGCCCAGGCAAATCCTGGCATGAATAGTAAGCTAAATGACTGATTAGGTAACAACTAATTTTGTAAATAGCAGAACCCATGAAACCTGATTTCCAGTGGTTCAGTCTTGTGTGGATTCTCTTATGTCTAATAATGCAGTTTAACATTGCCTTCAGCCTGTTGTTTCACAAAATACACAGGCAGTCAGGTATCTTTTGTCAAATTGTGTTGAAGGTGACCATCAGCGTCAGAGGTGGTTAACATGGAATGAGATGAGAATTGAATGGCAGACATGCAGTTTCATCTTTTAAGCCTAATTTCTTTAGGAAATCAGGATAAAAATTATAAAGAAAGAATGAGAAGTTTCCAAGTGAACATGAAGGATTTAGGCCTACTATTCTGTTTTTTGTTAATGACTGACTGAGGTCAAATTTTGCTGATAACAATTGTGCTTGACAGGCTGATTTGGCTGTGCATTATTGTAATTAGGTTCTGAAATTGGTTTCAAAGGCTGTAGATGACCTATGATGAAGTGACTCAGCCCCCAGGTATGCAAAGAAGGGCATTTTTAAAAACAGGATTTTTTCTTCCTAAACATTTTGTTGATATTTTTACCATGTAATAAATGACTGCATCCAAAACCAGGATAATACCAGGGTTTAGAATTCATCTCAGTAAAGTAGTTAGGCTTGGAACTAAGAATATGTTGAGTAATGAAGGTCAACAGAAATTTTTTCTTTTGTGCCAGATAGAAATGCAACTGATTAATAGCTTTTCAGACTTGTATATGGGAGAAAAGGAGGAGGAATTATTCTGTGATGCGTAGGCAGAAGAAACCTTAAGGTCACATTATGCAAGAGCCTATTAGAGAAAATGGCCACAGAGTGCTGCTTCTGACTTTGTACCGGGAGGGGGTAGAGCCAACAACACTCCAGATTAAAATACTAAGTCTCTGTATTTATGGAGTGATGCTTCCTTTCCAAGAGAATAAGGTACATAATTATGGTCCATTAAGATGAAATTCCAGTAGAGCAAATCTCATTTCCATTGGTGTTTGCAGGCATGCCTGTTCCATAGATATGAGCACAGACTTAGCAGCCTTGAAGAACTGAAACGTTTGCAACTGAACTAGTTGTGGTGAACCAGTTTAACTACCCACAGTCCATCCAGACTTACCAGACCGAGGGCATAAGCACCCTTACCTATGTTTGAGTGAGGTAGGCAGTCCTGACTGCCTACCAGAGAAGGGCAACGAGGCTGGTGAGGGGTCTGGAGAACAAGTCTTATGAGGAGCAGCTGAGGGAACTGGGGTTGTTTAGCCTGGAGAAAAGGAGGCTCAGGGGAGACCTCATCGCTCTCTACAACTACCTAAAAGGAGGTTGTAGCGAGGTGGGTGTCAGTCTCTTCTCCCAAGTAACTGGCGATAGGACGAGAGGAAATGGCCTCAAGTTGCGTCAGGGGGGGTTTAGATTGGACATGAGGAAAAATGTCTTTACTGAAAGAGTGGTTAAACATTGGAACAGGCTGCCCAGGGAAGTGGTTGAGTCACCACCCCTGGAAGTATTTAAAAGAGGTGTAGATGAGGCGCTTAGGGACATGGTTTAGTGGGCACGGTGGTGTTGGGTTGATGGTTGGACTCGATGATCTTAGAGGTCTTTTCCAACCTTAATGATTCTATGATTATATGATTCTATGACTGAAGTTTCAGTCAAAGCCTTCTACTGAAGCTGGTGGAGTAGACACAAGCTCACTTTGCAAATGGCTGGGAGTGATGAATACATTCTCTTGAAGCCTACTGCTGCCACAGTAGAGCCAGAGAACTGGAACTTGTCATTTGCTGTCATGGAAAGTCATTCATTTTAGCTTAGCAGTTGCTGAAGATAGATAGAGTCAGACTAACTGTGTGCTAAGAGGATGTGTTTCATTCTATCAGTTAATTTGTGGGGGCAGCAATTTCCAATGTAAGCATGTTGACAAACAGCTGGGAGGAGTAACATGTTTAAACATGCCAGGGAGGGGAACTCTGATCACGCCCTAGGAATATATATACCTGTACTGCTAGTGTGGCTCAGTTTATGCATGCTAATTTATGAAGCTGCTGTAATTCAGACAGATTTGATCACAGATTTTTATCTTGAAATGCTTTAGCCTTTGTTTTATATCCTCAACTGTGTTAGATATATTTTAAACTATTTACATGGAAGTTTTCAATGCTAGAGATACTACAAATCATTACTTTAGGCCACCTTTCTATATCCCAGGATTTGTTATTGAGCAAAGTCAAAATGTTTCCCTTATGGCAATCAACTCTTAGCTTTTCTGACAATCATTTATGAGAATTTTCCCTGGAGATGCAAAGCTGACTGCAAATGGTTTGGGACCTTCAGTTGGCGCTAGATAGGCTGGTTAACCCATTTCAGCACAGCTCAGTCTAGAATATATGTTTGAGAAAACCTTTTTTTTTTCAAACCAACTCTTAGAGTAGCAGACTTTGTCACTACCCAAGTAGCTCCCAGTAACTTCTATAGGAGTTTTGTATGCAAATTCCCATATGAGATCTCTTGAGCCTACAGAATTTATCTGGAATAACTATTTTGGATAATTTCGGTGATGTTGTTATTCACATTGATCAGCTGTTTACTCACAGCAAGGAGCTTTGTGTAATCTTAGATTTCAGCTAGTTACATTTTGGGTGGGGAGATCTCAAAGTTGATGACATCCCTAGTCAAAAGGCATGAATGATGTTCTTAAAGAGCCCAGCATTTTAACTGTGTCTGCCAGTGTGGGAGTTCACAGTCTTTCTTTCACTCTTTCTAGCTGTGGTTAGAGAAAGCGGATGATAATCCATAACTTGTGGAATCTTAGGACTTTTGCTTTTTTGGCCCAAAATGGTATCCAGTAAGTGGCACAAATGGTGCCATTTCTGTTAATAGGAGAAAATGATGGTGCAAACTAGTTTCTCTCTGATGCAATACTGTTTATTTTCCAGAATTTAAGTGCAGCCAACATTTTTATTACTCCCTGTTTTCCACTGTGTCCTTTCAGCCTGATCTGCACAGAGAAAGCTTGCTCTGGGCCAGGCTGTCATGGCTGTCGCACTGTCAGCTAGCTTTCTCTCAGCTCTTCTGCCTCTGATGAGTACAGTGGCAATGCATTCCCTAATCAACCACAGGGAGCCTTTTGGCGTAGAGACCTAACCATCCACCCAGCATCTTGGGCAACAGCCACCTTTTATTGCTACCTATCCATTAGGGACCATTTATGTGTTTTCCCCCTCATGAGCCTATGGTCCCTATCCATTAGGGACCATTTATGTGTTTTCCCTCTCACGAGCCTGCAAACAGGGTGCCAATTCACTCAGCAGTGTTAACCAGAAATGCGTGTTAACACCTGTTAACTCTTCCATCCTGACAGCGTGGCTCAGCGTCCTGCAAGCCCAAAGAGCAGTTGGATTAGAAAGTGGCAGGGTGGATGGAGAACTGTGTGACAGAAATAAATTCCCATCTGAAGCAGTTCTTCCTGAAGCTTCTATGGTTGCAGTGAAAAGCATGGGGGCTCATACTGCTTGCACGTCTGTGTGGTCTGCATTCTGCTACAGGATCTGGAGAGCTGCAGGCTGCGTCTGGACCCTGAGATGGACCGGCACAGGTATGAAAGAAAGATCAGCTTTGCTGGGGTTCTGGATGAAAATGAAGATTCAAAGGATTCCCTGCACAGCAGCAGCCACACCCTCAAATCTGAGGCTGGCTTCGAGGAGAAAAAAGGTTTGTCAGCACAATAAAACTTTTGTATTCCCAGGGCTTGTGAAGTGGCGCTTGATTTTATGTTTTCATTTGCATAGACTGTGTTAAAAAGCAGGCAGCCATGGAGTCACATGGCTTTGAATCATTTCTGAGACGCTTCTGGCCTTCAGGGTTCAATATAACAAATGTGAGAAGCAAAGATGTTAAATTTTATAAAACACTGCTATGACTGAAACCAATTGAGAGCATTGCAAGATTTCTAAAAAGGAGGATGCCTTGTTTGAAACTGTCTCTCAGTGAGGTGCTGAGAGAAGCATCACTATTTGACTCACTTTAAAAATAAAGATCAAAAGTGTTCTCGTTTGGTTTTTCATTCTGATTACAGTTTTTTGTTTTGGGAAAACCGCAGATGGGGGGGAAGATTGGGATCTTTCCGTGAAAATCTGTACTGCTTTGGAAGTCATGGCATCTCACAGAATTAGTGCTTGATCACTTGATCTCTTGAATTCTTTGCTACCACATGAAAAACACACACCTATGTGGCTTTTGATGGCTAGCAGATTAATGTTACCAACATACTGTATACTGTACAAGCAAACCTCAAGCTCACTGTGTTTGCTGAGAACAGCAGATTGTTTCCATTTTTGAGCCATCTCATGCAAAACTCACATACTCTCTGATGGTACAAGTGTTGCAATACAATATACAGTCATCGTGCGTATTTGCAATCAGAGGCTAAACTGCCAGACAGTAACCTGTAAATGATTCTCCCTCTTACAAGTTTTCTAGAACTGTTTAAATTCTGTCTCATAATAGTTATATAAAGGTGCTATAAAGGTGCTATAAATTATTGAATGATAATTTTGATGATTGTTTGAAAAGGATAAATGTTTGACGATTGTTTGAAAAGGATGGCGTCTGTGGCTGGTTATCCTCTAGGAACTGTAATGTGTATTAATGATTCAGAGGAGGCTTTACTGACTTCAGGGGGCTTTGGATAAATTTTGCGTTGTCTTCAGCTATGACCCTGCCACAATTACTGGAGAAAATATTAGAACTGCTTCCAAGACTTACATGGTGTAAAACTGCCTCCAAAATTGTGTCAGGTAGGACAGTTACTCCTGTGAGGACAGCTAGGTGTCCTAAGAAAGGTGAGCCAGATAAATTCATGCTCAACCTCATTTTTTGTACCCTTGGCATATTGGCAGCCCAGGGAAGCACACAGCCTTATAATCTGTCTGATAGTCTAAGATCAGTGGCATAAGATGTCTCTAACTACTTAGACGAGGAAAAGCTTGGTTTTGGGGTTGTTTTTTTGTTTGAAGATAGTTATGACAATTACTTGAAACCACTTTTCAGCCTCTCAGGCAGCAGTCCCATCCACTGGGATGTTACCTGAGTGGGAGAATGCCTACGAGCACGCAGTCCTGCTGGAAAATGCTGGTGGCTGGTCTCTAACTATGCTATTTTTCTTAGAGACAGTGCTGACTTAGGTTTTCCCTTCATGTGTTACTGTGCTACAGGCATAATGCAGAACTGGGTTATATTTGCAAAGATAGTGTTCACTTTCTGCATCCTTGACTCTGTTATTTTCCCTGCAGTTTCAGTTGGTTTTTTTTCCTATTCTCCCTTTTCCCTAAGCTGTCATGTAGTATTTCTTTACTAAAGCTGCCTCTTTACTACATTTTAGAGATGGGAAAAGTGACGATGGTAGGAAGGCTGAATCTTAATATACTCTAGCAAAAATATATTTGCAGTATTTTGGAAGCTAAATAAATGCAAGATGATGTTATATTTTAAAATTACAATAATTATGTTCTTTTCTCTGGCCACAGCATATTCTTCTGGGGATCCACCTGGGCCAAACATAACAGATGCAGAGGCATCTTTCGTAATCTACACTTTTCTAGATAAGAAAATGTTGTTGTGTGAATGTAACTAAATTTTTCTCGCCTGCAGTGACAGGTTTCTTTATCTCAACCTCTTTGATGAGTACTAATCTGTTTCCTTTCATTTTTTCCGGAGTGTTAAAAACTTTGCTCTCGTTGCTCACCCCAGGCGTGGCTTAACAGCTATCCAAAAGCTACGAGTTTACTGTATAGAATCTGCTCCAGGTAGGTCTGAAATACAGACACTAAAGCTAGGTAGATGCAGGCTCTCAGAGGATCATATGTACTATTTGGGTACTAAAATGGGATTCTGCAGACTTCATGAAATGTAGTTACAAGTGCTTAAACGGTTTGACATTCGGGGGAACTGAGCCACTGTATTGAGGCTGATCTGAACAGAATTCAAGCAGTAGCGATTGCTAAGGAACTCAGCATGGTCACTTGGAGGGAGATTCTCTGGTCACTCAACAGTGATTTGCCCAGCTGATTCATGAGACCTATCCAGCTGTCTTCGGCCAGGACGTTAGCCACTGGAAATGGGAGTGGGAATTGGGTTCTGGAGGAATTATGGGCATTCTCAGGAGTAACGGTGTGTTTGATTTTTCCTGAAGCCAAAATACAATTCTATTAAAAGATTTTGCTTACCAGTGGTATGCAAAAAGCTGTATCCTGTTCATTCTCAACAACACACCAAAAGGTAATCAATCACACATGGCCTTGCCTGATTAGATCTGCAGTAAAATGACTGAGTGTTGCAACATTTGGACTGACATACTGCCTTGTACTGCCTTTGAACTAAGAGGAGAATGAAAGTGCAAACGGTTGGTGCTTTGAACATTGAACCATTTCATGTCTGTGCTCATCAAAAATGCAGAGTGTCAATGGATGTTGTTAATGCCTGAAAGCTGCTGATTTGTCTGAAGGAGAGGATCTACGTGCTCCTGTTTCCTCTAAAGCATTCTAATGATGAAGAGTAACATGCAGAGACACGGATTTATGCAAATCTTACTTCAAAGAAGTCTTGCGTGCTAACCTCATAAAGCAAAGTACCCTTCTGCAGTCACACGTGCTGTATGAATAAATAATTGATCCTACTGCAGAGCTCAGTGAGGTTCACAGAACCCAGGCCCACAGGAAAATAGGTTTGTCCATGGTGCCTTGTTCATGCTTGGGATTCAGCCATCTATCCCTAGCAAGAGGTGATTCTGCACTAATGTAAACCCCAGGGGCTGGCAAAGAAAACTGCAATTTACATCCATTGGGCAGATCCTGTTTCCTGGCAGGAATTGAGTCAAATTGGTGTGAATCGTAGGTTTTCCTTGTCCACGTTTTGGGTTTCTGTTAGAGCAGCTGACTCTACTTGCTGGTGGTTGAACGAGGGCTGATTCCAAATACAGACAAGGCCTGAGGTGACGTACCAGGTCTCCGGGAAATGAGGTGCTGAACACATTTCCGTAAAGCATCTTTACTGCCTGATTGACAGAGCTGCATTGGCGGTGGCTTTGGAGGGAGCCTCTGGCCCCACATTCCTTGGTAGAAGAAAAGACGCTGCAATACAGGCTGGCAGCAAAGGGGAGGGAGGGAGGGGAGGGCCAGGATATCTTTCTTTTTTAAATGGGGAAAAATTAAGGGGAAAAAAGTCCTCTTTTATTCTTTTAATACAGTTCCCAGCAGGAAGATCAGGATAGGAGGCTCCCGCTTGCTCCAGATTAAAGGAACCCGCAGTTTCCGGGTGAAGAAGGGGGGTTCCCTTTCCAGCATTCGCCGGGCCGGCAGCCTAAAGAGCACCAAGTTATCACGGCAGGACTCAGAGTCTGAGAATGAGGAGCTGCAGCTGTCCCACAGCAGGGACACTGTCACTGATATAGGTAACTTAGACAAGTGGGTGGAAAGGGAGGGGACAATAGGCAGGACCTAAACTCTTGATGTGATTGCAGCAGAGCTAGAAATGACAAGAGACCCCCACCCCAGCAGGCTAGGAAAAACCTAGAGTCCTCTTTAGGCACTGCCTGAACTAGGGCCTGGGAGGAACATGGTTCAAATCCTGGGTGCAGCGTCGGCTCCATGCACAAGCTGTCAATTCAGAGCTCCGTGTTAGAGCATGAACTCTTGGAATGCTGGTGCCTGCCAGCCAAACGCATGCTATCTTTAGGGGAGCACATACACGTGTGTGTATGCACATACACACACCCCTAAATCATACGGTATAATGAATACATGAGGTCATATGCATATATGATATTTTATTGTCCATATTAATAAATAGGATATATATATGTACAGACATGCACTTCATATTCTATGTAGCATATGATGTCATAGGCATGTTGTGTGACATGTAATATATATATTCCTATATGTAGAACATAACATGTACATGCTACATACTATATTTCTACATATTGGCATATACATATATTTTTAGAGTTTACAGATGCCTGCCTTAGTCTTCAAAAGATGGATCCCCATATAGTTATCTTATGGAAACCAAATGTGCATCCTGCCATGAGAAATCTCCATCACAGTTGAACTAAAGGGGCTCCCTCTGGTAGGGGTGTTAACCAAAAACTACGGTTTGGACACATTCGGAGCTGAAATAACCTCTGAAGCTTAATGGTCATTTTTATGTTGCCCAAAAGATGCTTCATTAGGTGAATATGGAGAGTGGGATTGCCTGTTCTGTAGACTTTGGCAAGTCACGGTTCACTTAAAGAGGAGAAAGAAAGGATTAACCGGAGTTCAGCCCCAGCCATCTCTTAACAGCATTAATGTTAGTATTATAGGAGGCCCATAGGTTATGAAATGGCTAGAGGAAACACAGGGATCAGTGAAGTTCTCAGAGAAATCTCTCCCTTGGCTGAGTTCTGTAGAACTAGTGTGCTAGCATCAGGATTTTTTTCCCCTTTCATCCCCATGACATTAGCAGTTTCCATGGGCAATTAGCAGTGACTTTGCCCATTGGCATTTCCAGTTGGATGCCACTTCTGGTTGGATTTTTGTTGACATTTTTAACCACAGAGCCCAGTCAATGCAGATCACTAAACCAACCATTTGCAGCATCTGAATGGTGCAAAGAATTTGTTTCTGATGTTTTTCATTTACCTTCTCCCCTTCCATTAAAGAAAAAAGTGGGGAGGGAGTAGTGTTTGCTACTGACAAGATGGCCTGTTAACCAAGTCTAAATGGTTCTTGTAATTGTCAAGCCAGCACGACACAAGGATTGGGGAGGGGTGTCCAAATGCAGTCTTTCCAGTGTGGCATATTCTGTGTACTCTGGTCTGTTCCCACAAGGCTGGCCTGGCTTACAAGTGCTGTCCCTAGTCTTTAAGCACATAGGGAGCAATAAAAACAACGACCTTTTGGGTATTTTTCTTTTGAAGAAGGGAGCCCTTGGAGCGCGAGCGAACCTAGCATTGAGCCCGAGGTGCTGAGCAACACAGGCACGGAGGAGAACTATCATCGGAACATGTCGTGGCTGCACGTAAGTATGAGTAACAGCAGCGCTCTCAAGGATGGCATTTTCAGTAGGAAAACCTTTGTGCTGGCAATAACCAGATCACAATCTGTGCTTTCTCCATGTAGCATCAAAGATCTCAAGTGTAAGTAAGTAAGCTGCGACATTTGGAAATCGTCTGTTTGCCATTTCTAAAATGGACTAAAACCAGAAAGTTTTTGTCTTGCTCCCTCTGTCCATTTCATATATTTAGTTTGTAAGGGAAAAGGGACTATTTCTCTCTAGGCGTGCAGGGACAGCCATGCTACCTCAGCTGAGAAATCCATTAGCTCAGTATCTTGTCTCCAGCACGGCTAGTAGCGGGTAGTTCAGAAAGAGTAACAGAATGGACTACAGTGTGACCTGGGCTCCCAGCTTCTGGGAAATGGCATTTTAGAAGCTACTTCAGCTGGAGGTTCTGTTGTGACCACTATGTTTGCTAACTACTGGAAGATTTTTCCTCAGGGAGTTTTTCCAACCTTTTTGAGCCAATTGATGTATTTTTGTCTCCATTTACTCTATGGCAATGAGCTTAATTATGCACCTTGTGAGGAAAAAAATACTTTTGGAATGTTTTCTTTGATTCCATTAGATGCATTCTATCAGAATGTCTAACCCAACAGAGCCTTGTGTAGTTTTGACTCTATCCAACAGACAGGGACTACAACAGTGCAAATGTGGTTTGTTCGTACAGGGCCTAAAATATGTGTTTTGGTGATCTCTGTACACATGATTTAGACATGCCAAAAGCCAACTGGGCAAGTCTACACCTTTCAATCCACTGGTATCCAAGGACTGTACACCTCTACCTCTGTTGCCTCATGACACTCTGTGATGATGCAGTACGGTCAGTGTGCCCATGTGCACGTGCTTTGCGGAAAAGTTGGATTGACTCCCTGTATACAGGTTGATTGTATCCTGCATGTGTGTATGAGGACAGATGCCTTTTGACTTCTGAGTTGCTTTTGGGAAAGACAGCTGCCAATAATGAGCTGATATCCCCCTCTTTCCCCCAAGTATTTCACACAGTCTGCTGTCAACTGGCCCATTCCTATGGGGTGTGGGCAAGAACAAGATTAATCTAATACTGTGATGTCAGAAGCAGTTCTTGATTTGAAAAGCAGTCTTTTTTGGAAGAGGGTGGCAAGGCGGGGAACTTGAATGTCATGTCTTCCAAGCTAGTACCTCAGTCCCTGGACCACCCCGCTTCTCTGTCAGATTTGGAAATTCCAGTGTGCTAAACTGAGCATGTTAGACAAGAAAGTGTGTACTAGGTGATTAATTGCTAGAGGATAAAGGCATCTCCCTGGCTAGCAGCTTGGGATAAATCATGGTGCCTTTGCTCAATGTGGAAAGATGCATGGACTCATAAATACAAGGCATAAACTGAAGGGTACTTGAGATGTTTGCCTCACTTTACATGTGATTAGCCTGCATAGGAGAAAGGAAGATTTGGAAAATCACCTGTTCCAGTTAATGCCACGCAAGTACCAATATCGCATGAGAACTTTCTCTTTTTGTTTGTTGGAAAGAAGGTGTGGGTGGATGGTCACTAAAACTACAGGCAAAACAAAAACCTGCTTTACTTAACGGTCATGAGAAAACCCCTCAAAAGGGTCACTATTTCCAGTTACTTCTATGCATGCACCAGCATTTCCTTTACCCGTCCTTTACGGCAGCCCGGAGCGTGATGTCCTCACTCTATGTCAGTGTATTGTAACTACAAGTTATAACAGTGGACCAGAGGTTGGGTAGAGGCTATACAATGCTGATCAGATTTATACCATTTGCACATTGATACAACACTAGTCGCTTGAGTTATTCCTGATTGACCCCAAAATAACATGAGGCCAGAACAGGCAGGCAAAGACAAGAATCCCACATATGCAGCACAGATTTGTTTTAAATTAAGGTCCTGACTTTTTGGAAGCCTAAATATTTGAGGGTTGAGAGTGATGTGGCAGACTTACTTGAGAGAGCCAGCAGACTGCAGCTGCATGGACAATAAATGTATGGAAAAGGTGGGATAGCTTCTTTCTGGTAGTTCTGGGTATTTCTGCACTAGGTTGTGGGATGACGAGAAGGATTCATAAAGGCCAGTTCTGACCTACAGTGTGAATGGCTTGGGGATGCCTGTGTGCTTTCCTCAGAGTGCTGCTAAGTGGCTGGGTTTGTGTGTGACATGAAGACCAATGTACAAAGAGCTGCTGGCGTGAGCTCTGCTCTTCTGGGAAGAAACCCTCTGAGTTACATCAGAGAACAGTCACTGAAGTGTAGACATACCTAAGGCTGTCTTTAATTAATTAGTTTAGGGACTAATAGGAGTGTTGCTGCAGCAAGGCAGGGCTCAGAATAGCTAAATGCCCAAATATTTACTCTGTTTCTTAGATGGGTTTTACAGCTCCTTGCTGCCATATGGCAACACCACTAGAAATAGTAACTGAGCCAGCTAACATAAAGCTAGGCTGGATGGGCCTACCCAAGCACAGTGAGGGAAGCATATGCAGAACAACTGGCACAGTTTATTCCTACTTGAGAGCATACTGAGACATTTCCTTTCCCATTCCTTGAAGGAAACTAACCCCCGAACCTGGTGGGTTTGCAGCTTTAATGATGATTATGTAGTTGACAACTTCCAGTCAAAGCCCTCATCTCGGAGTGGCGGTACAACAGCTTTTCTGCAAACTGAGAGAATACTGTTCTCCTCGGCCTTAATCTTGCCGCCAGCCAAACATACACACCTACAGCAGCTCTGTCTCTTTGTCTGGTTTGTTAACACTGATGTTTCTTTAGCCATGCCTAGCTAGTTTGTAAATCTTGTGCAAGTGTGGAGCTTTGCACAGACACATATACCTTTTCAAAAAGCTGTGTTGAGCTTCATGCCTCCCAGCTAGGCTGTGGAAAAGTTAGTTTGACTGTCCCCATCACTGGCTGCCCTAGGCTGTTCTTTGTGTAACTCCCTTTTCTATAGGTAACTATTCTCTTTTTTTCTTTTCAAGGTTATGATCCTATTATGCAACCAGCAAAGTTTCATATGTACCCACATTGACTACTGTCACCCACACTGCTACCTCCATCACAGCCGGTCCTGTGCTCGCCTGGTCCGGGCCATCAAACTCCTGTATGGAGACACAGTGGACTCTCTGCGAGAAAACAGCACATTGAACAGTGTGGCAAGAGGCAAAAAGCAAAAGGAAGTGAGTAGATGGAAAAAGCAGAATGTTTTGGGGTTTGTCCGGGCAGGTCATAATTACCTTCAAGGACTGCATAATGTACTCAAACAGTTCTTTCATGACAAAATGAACACAGCCCTTCCTAAACACAGGTCTGCTCTAAAAACACCTATTAAGTCACTTAGCATTATGGAAGGAAAGTAATCTGTATTGATTGGAAAGAATCTTAGTTGTTGATAAGGTCATTTAAAAGCTTATAAGTTGACTTTAATTTTAATGTTCTTTTATGGCCTCTACTTATCAGCCCCTGGAGTCCAGTCTCTTTTTTCATGTTTCTTCTCATCTGTTAATAAGAATCACTCTTAAAATTCTTGTAAAATCTTGCATAATTTCTTTCTTTTAGGTCTGAGCTCTCAGAGCTGTTCCAAGAATTATATACATTAGTCTTTAATGTCACAGTCTCTTTAGTGACACA